TTGAGATACACCCAGAGGAAAAACTCCTAGCAGGAAATACCCTCAGCAACCTGGGGGGAAACCTTCCCTTTTGTCCTATCACATTGGGCTTGTTGGAACCTGTGGACCCTTTATGTGACCAGTTCTACAGGTCCCATCTCATAAGAGGGCACACCAGGAGCAACAACTGCCCCACTTAGGTCCTGCTCCACAGGAAGATCTCACAGAGGGGAGCAAGAGACAGCTGAGGAAGAAGAAATACCACTCACGACTTTATAAAAACCAATAGTGGAGTTCTTACAAATTCCATTTGAGGAGATGCAGGAACCGCAACATTCCCTGTTGGACATCCTTCATATATCTCCTCAGGGAAAAATCACCTTGCCCATCAACCATGCTCTGTTGGCCCCAGCTTGTACAGTGTGGTCAACTCCAGCTACCGTACCGACTATGTGTAAATAGGCTGACAAAAATTGCAATATTCCACCCAGAAGCTTGGAGTATTTTTTTTTCTTCCACCCTACAATCAATTCCCTGGTTGTTGAGGATGTTTGTTTACTAACTAATGTTCGTCCTGCTCAACGCTATGTGATAAGAAGCTGAAATGACTAGACCTCCTGGGCCACAAGAGCTACTCTGCAACCTCTTTGCAGTTCAGAGTAAGCCAATTACTAAGCCCTGATTTTGCAAACTATTCAAAGTTTTAATCTTTTATTGAGCACCTACCACAAGATCCAAGCAAACAATTTCAACACCTCATAACAGAAGGCCAGACAATTGCCTCAGCAGCTCTCTGGGTCTCGCTTGATGCAATCAATACAGCTGCACGTACCATGGCTATGGCAGTAGTCATGCACTGAAGACTCCCAGGCGACACTGTGACTCTGGATGTCTAAACACAGCAAAGAAACAATACAGTAGATTGCAGACAGTTCAACAGTGTCACCCAGTCTACTACTAGCCCATGAGACTGACTGAAGCCCAGATTCACTAAGAAAGGGCTGTCCTCTACAGCAGCGTCTCCCCAGTCAGTGACATCTTCAAAAAGACCTTTTTGACCTGCTGGCTGAGAGTCACGAACTGTCTCCTGCCCTGGATCCTACACTGCACCTTTCCTCCCTCCATCCCAAAAGGGATTCTTGCTCCCCTTTCCTACCTTCCTGGGAGCTCATCACCTCAGACAGATAGATCATGGAGGTGATTTCTAAAGGCTACTCCATCCAGTTCAGCTCCTTCCTATGCTCCTCTTCAGGTTCCCATATTATGAATGTCTCTTGAGGCAGGAGGTGCAATTCCTCCTAACACTAGGGATGATTGAACCTGTTTCACTGGAGTTTGTTGGAAAAGGGTTCTATTCCCTGTACTTCATCGGGGCCATTCTGGACTCCTCCTCTGCCAGAACATACTTGCCCAAAGACAGATTTGCCACAATGGCCAGCATCGTTTCAACAATACAACTGAGTCTGCAAACCACGGCAAAGGCTCACCTGCAACTTCTGAGCCACATGGCAGTGCTTATGTTTGTCTTACCTTAGCTAGATTACACTCTCAGTATCTTCAAGCCTGGCTGAGAACAGTCTACACCCCCAACAAGCACAGTCTATCCAAGTGGGTGTCCAAATGTGTTAGAGGATCCTCAATTCTCTAAATTGGTGGAAGGATCCACAAAAGGTGTGTGCGTGTGAGTTCCATTCTTGCAGCTTCCTCCCATGAAGATCATCACTACAGATGCCTCCCTAGCAGACTGGGCAAAAACTTCATAGTTCAGGGCAAATGGGCCCCTTGGGAGGCAATCTTCCATATAAACATATTAATGCTCAGAGCAGTTTGTTACTCTTGCCAGTACTTCCTACCCCACATCAGGGCCACCTGATGAGAATAATGCTGGATAACAGAGCAGCACTGTATACAAACATCTCTATATAGTATTTGTAGACAACGAAGGCCTTCAACACTGTTAGTCATGAGGGTCTCTGGCGGATCTTGCACAAATTGGGATGCCTGCACAAAATCATCACCATCTTGCACTCATTCCACAACAGCAATGCTGGCCAGAGTGCTGGAAAATTGTATTTCATCAGAGCCTCTCTTTGTCATGAACAGTGGTCAGCAGGGCCGTGTGCTCGCACCTACATTATTTTACCATTCTCTTGGGTGCTCTGGTGCTAGATTCTTTTAAAGACCATGACTGAGGTATTTACATGAAATTACGTACTGATGGCAGCATCTTCAGTCTCCAGCATCTTTGTGTTCACACTAAAGTGATCGATTTGCTCCTCAGGGAGTTCCTCTTCACTGATGACTGTGTATTTGTAGCACATACCATTTAATCACCTGCTTTTCTAGATTGGCATATCAATCTGGACTCTATCAGCCTCAGGAAAACCAACGTGCTTTGCCAGCCTGCTCCATGAAAAATGCACTCTGCCCCCAAAACTGCAATTGATGACACACTGCTTAACCCAATAGAGTATTTTGCTATCTTGGCAGCACTTAGTCTAATAATGCCATGATCAACAATGATCTCATGCTGCACATTTGGCTAAAGCCAGTTCTGCCTATGGTCAACTTTGTCACCACCTGTAGAATGTGAGAGGCATTCACCTTCATACCAAGATTAGTTGTTTATCGTGTAATCACGTTAAGCAGTCTTCTCTATAGCTGCGAATCATGGATACTTGATAGCAGGCTCTTGAAGCACTCAGATCATTTTCACATGAGCTGTCTGCATCTCATCTGTCACATCAAGTGGTCGGACAGGATACCAAACATCAAAGTCCTGGACCAGTGCCTCATGACAAGCATTGAATTCCTTATCATGCAACCACAACTTCACTGGTCTGGTCACCTCATACGCATGGATGATACACAACTCCTCAAAGCCATATTTTATGGACAGTTGAAAATGGGAACACATATGCTGGGCAGTCAATGAAAATGATAAGGACACTCTCAAAGCTCACCTCAAAGCTGGCCAAGTCAACTTGAACACATGGGAAGCTGCTGTTGCCAACAGATGAGGATGGCAGCGGATCTGTTGGTCCGTGGTTAAAGCCATCATGAAGAGCAGAACAGAAAAACCCAAAGAGACGTGTTAGCAAAGAAAACCAGCTCTGGCAAAAACATGCGGCCATGTCTGCTCAACGTGTGGACACATCTGTGGATCCCTCTTCGGTTTACATTCACACAAGAAGATGCACTGAAACAAACTGACTCTCATATGTCGACTATGATGGGAGACTCCAGTAACCAACAACAATGTATTCCATCAATCTACATACAGGAGCAAGATCCCAGTTCTTATGTACCAAATCCATAAAACGATGAAACTGGTGCATATTACACCACATCCAGATCCCAGCGGTTCATCTACCTGGACTACAGAACACAACGTAGGCATTTTGGCATCGACCCTGAGTGGGAGATGAACAACGAGGTGTTCTGAAAGATATGGCTTACCTGGAGTCATCTGGAGACAGATCTCTTTGCATGCTGTCCAATTAGAAATGCAGATAATTCTGCTTGAAGGGAGGGCATCACTGCAACTCGATGGGATATGCCGTAATCATTCCTTGGCCTTATGTATTGCTATACACTTAATCCCTGATGTCTTTATTGCTCAAGGTCCTAAACAAGTTGGAACAGGAGAAATTAGTAGACATCCTCATAGTACCATCATGGCCGAGACAGGTGTGATTCCCAGAGCTGGTTCGCATCTCTACAACTGCTTCTCCACCTTCCCCTAACAGTGAATCTCCTCACCCAAGAGTCAGGATTCATCACCCACCTCAACATCTCAGCACTTCACTTCAAGGTATGGCTACTAGTTAGCTCTCTGATATTGCTTCCCAGAGGTACAAACAGTACTGCTGAATAATAGAAAACCCATCACAAGGAAAACTTACTTTAGAAGCGGAAGTGCTTCCAGGCTTGATGCAGCCACCAATCTATACTTCCTCTCAAGTCCTGTCTAGGGTAACCAGATGTCCTGATTTTATAGGGACAGTCCCGATTTTTGGGTCTTTTTCTTATATAGGCTCCTATAACCCCCCCACCCCTGTTCCGATTCTTCAAACTTGCTGTCTGGTCATCCTAGTCCTGTCTGACACACATTCTCAATTATCTGCTGATAAAAAACACAGATTTATCACTGAGCTCCATTAAGGTTCACCTCGTTGCCATCACAGCTTTTCACCCCTTCCCCGCCATTAAGGGTTTTTCAGTCTTCACTCACCCAACCACTAACAGGTTTGTTAAAGGCCTGTTCAACCTCTTCTCTCCTGTCAAGGAGCCAACTCCACTACAGGACATGAATTCAGTTTTCAATGTGCTGAGGAAACTCCCATATGAACCTATGGGGAACTGTTCCCTCCTTCATTTATCCCTTTATAAACACAGACAAAAAATATGGATGCAACCATATTTCATAACTGATTAAACAGTACCTTTACTGATGTTAATCAGTAAGGGTTAGATTGTGATATGCTTTCAGACGCTGAACAGTTCCTTATAGTACAAGTTGTCTCATTAAAACCAATGGGTCAAATTATGGAATAAATGGATATTAAATATGAAACAGTGCATCAAAACTTGGTCCATAGATATGTTCTAGTCCTGTGTACTCAGAACTATATTAAATACAGCGCAAATGTAATATGCTCATGCTTGTAGTGTAAAGATGTGCTAGACAGACAACTTGTTGCAGAAATATATTACTTGTTTGGCAGGGTACATTGCTTTTCAAACATGATAAGACATGAAATTGTTGACACCCACAGATTTCTCCCAGATCCCATTCAAAACTGAATCAAAAGCTTTGCTGCTGGAAAAACATGTGTTTATTTAACTTGAACAAATTTCTATCCAGCATGAGTACTTGTATTTGCTCTTATTACAATGAGGAGAGGGGGTAAAATATATGCAATAATAGTATTTCTTCTGTCAGAATTGGGACAACGGATTTACATTCATATGTCAAATTCTGCATCCTGCAAAACCCCATTGATATCAAATAGGTTGCACAGGGTGCAAGTGAAGACTTAGCCCAATATTATTGTAAACAGCCACACTATCCATCATAGAAGAAATTTTCATAAGTTAATATACCAGACTTGAGAAAGTCAAAGATTTCTAGAAAACAGTATCCTCAAATAATGGCTACTGCAGAGCTTACTGTTACAAACCATTGTAAAAGGAAAAAAGAATAATGAACAGTTGTCATTTCTTCTATTGTTTGTCATAGGATAATTGCTACCACAAAAGGACAGTCCAGTTTAACCGACAAAAACAGATAGCTTTCTAGCACAGCATGTTAATGGATTCAAGAAACTGAAAAATTTGAAATATTCTGGGAATGAGGGTGTCAGAGTCATAAGGAAAGGAAGTTCTGGAAATCACCGATAAAAACAACATTGTAGCTTGTAAAACACCAGCTAATAAACTTGGAAGCAAGGAACCAAAATGTCAATGTATATTACACACACACACACACACACACACACACACACACACACACACACACACACACACAGAAGAAGAGAGAGAGAGAGAT